ACAGCAATCAAAAGACTTTCAGATTTCTAAACTAATGAAGCAGGAATCGACACATTTGCCGTAAATAGATGTATATAGCATAAGTAATTTCTGTATCTCAGAAAATTATCTCATGGGAGGGCTGATCTTGGGAGAAGAAACTAAATCTCACACAAAAACAAATGCCTTTACTTTGGACTGGAGAAGATCAACAAACCTTCAACATAGCAGTGAAAGAAGCTTCATCTTTCCCTCTCCACTGTACTGTGTAACCACTGAAAATAATGTGGATGCAGTTGTTTTAATAAGGTCTTCTGTTTTAATTCTACAGACCACTTTTCAAGACTCCACAAAAGCTAACAGAAATTTTAGCACATTTATATTAGGAAACACCATCTTTCTCTCAACCATCATGATAATCTCTGGATATGGCGTGGATTTGAAGCATCTCCTACATTGCCTCTGCAACATCAGTGTGGAATGAGGATGAATTACCAGAATAGAAAATCTCAGCGCAAGGAAGCTCCATTTTCTSATTTAAGAAAAGTGCCATTTTACAGAGAAGAAAATGCCAAAAAGCATATTAAAAAGCCAGCAAAGTTATATGCACCAGARAATCTCAAAAAACAACGAGAAGTCTAAGAAAATATTGTGTCTGTCTCAAGTCACGTCCATACTAGATTTGAGTTCACACTGGACCTTCCTCTGTCCACCCAACTCTGGAAAAGCATCACATTAAAGAGCAGCTCTCAATGGAAAAACGGATGAAAGCACAATTTGCTCACAACAGCTGTGGAAGTAACAGAGATACTAATTTAAGTTTTCTYCATAAGTAAAAGCCCACTGAACACAAAAAGTTAACACTTAGTTGCAAAATTGCATTGAACTTCAGCAAAAGCTCACTGCTATTAGTTTTGTTGCATCAAACACTGAGCTAATGAGCGTGCAAAGCAATTTGACAGTYGTTTCAGATTCTGAATACAAAACAGTTCTGTCACAAACGGCTTACTTAAGGGTTTTGAAGCATTACCACCCAGGACATCATCAGGCTACTCCCTCCTGTGCTGTGAAGGAGGGTTGGTAAATATTGCAGATGTTGCAGCCCTCCAGCATTTGAGCCAAACTGCCTTCCCTCACCAGCTGCTTGAGGAGTAACTGACTGGCACTTACCTACAGCAGTGCCACTCGAGTTTTCCAAAGTGGCAGCATTTATCCAGGGTCTCACAGCCACCTGAAGTCACTCCTAACCTTCATTTTACCAGGCTCAGCTTTGGTGCAATGGTATCTGCAGCACCATGGAGGGAGGAACCTCTTACAACAGCAAYTACRGTGTGACAGAAACAGTGCACKTTTCCAAGCCATGCTGACCCTTTCCCTCTCATAGTAAAGTCAACTGCATTATTTGAGTATTTGCACAAATTTCAGTATAGAAATTGTAGCAAAATACATCAGGTGTATAAGAAACTATGCACATTTTTCTTTCTCAACAAAAGGCAGGTAATTTATTGAACACTAAAGGTACTGCAGAACACCAAAATTATTGCGGAAAACTCAATGAAAGTACCTTGTCCTTTTTATAATTAAAACCCAAATAAATTTCCTTCCCACTTGAGACCCAGTCCTTTTTGCAAGCATTGCTAACTCTGCAAAGTATGCCCAAAGTGTGCCCCTTCCTGTTGCTTCAGTAGGTCCAGATCAGCTGTTTAAATGTTGCCCATTTCATCATTCAGCCAGCAAGGGCTTGGTTTCACTCAGTCAGTCATTTCACTGGCAGCACAGCTGTGCTGATGGCAGTCAGTTCACAGGGATCTGCAAGAACAACAACAGTCCATCTCCCTATTTCTTGGGCTTCCTACTTMGGGTATGTTTCAACTTTGCAAATGCTGCCAAACAAAGGTGCTGCTATCATTCCCTGGGCTGTTCTCAGACCTCACTGCAACAAGCTGCCACAGGCACAGGGGGTGATCCAGCTGCACAGGAGCCCAAGCCTGCATCCTTGGACCATGCCCTGCATTCTGCATGTGCCACATCACATGTCCAGCCACTGACCACCGTCTGTACCAGGCATTTCTGCCTGCTGAGTTATCTACCTGCTAAGCACGTRCTCAAGTCCCAGTGCCTACTGAAGCTGCATGTGAAGTTTGAACAATATCTTGTTATTTAAACATTTCCTAGAGTGGCTGTCCTCAACACAGAATTTAYAAAGAGTGTCTAGCAGCATGCAATCAATTTATGCAAGTCAGCCTGTTGCTTCCTCTYAGCTGCAGAATGAGTAACTATTTAAAATCCCATGCACCTAAAGACTAAAATTTCCTACTTTTCGGGGCTCAGAGAGCTTGACCTGTGTTGCAGCTGTGATGTCTTGCAACTCCATGCTTCTATTAAGTTTGCATAACTTTGAAAAAGTCTCGGGTACATTRATACCAAAGGCTGAAACATCTCATGCAGTAACACTGCTTTGTCATGCCCTGGGGGCTCAGGAGTGTGAGCAGCCTCCCTTAATCACCCACAGCAATATGCAGACACACGTCTCTACTCTGGGTCCAGTGTGTGCACTGAATTCTGCTTCCAATCTGCTTAGCCAGGGACTGCTGAATTATGCAGACCATCTTCATCATCCACCTTCTCTCTCCAGGCTGACACCTCAGGGCATTGGAAACACGGGACAGACTAAGTGGGGAATAATCTACAACCTTTGCAAGCAGCCAAAATCAACAGAATTTCAACTTTAAATCCCTTGATCAATTTATTTGCATATACACATTTTTGCACAGTTAAGTTTGTGTCAAGAGAAAGCCACRGGATGTGAACCACCTCAAAATTTGGTGAGTATTTAATGACAGGAAACAAAACTTGGATTTCCTSAGAAACTTTAGGGAAAATCTAACAGCAAAAATAATGCAAAGAGTCACTGTGATAAAGATGTGATTAAAAAGAGTAAACTGAAAGTTGAGATCTTTAGCAGTGCCAGAACACAATATGGGTAAATAATCTGGAGTTATGAGTTACATGCTCAAACTCCTGCTCACTYGCCACTTATTACTTTAAAGGACTCTATAAAAAGCTTGCCCAATTTTTTTTTCTGATTTGTCCCAGGACAATGACCTGTTGCAATGAAACAATATCTGCAGTTTCCCTTCCGGGCTGGAGTTACTCGCATAGCACTCCTGTAGCCTTTTCTCTTCCACTCTTCAGAATAGAAACAAGTATTCTTGGTAGACTTCTTTGAATGCCAGGGCTGGGCTGGCTAATACTTTAAAGTCCAGACAAGTTATCAAAGATTTAGCAATAAATCTTCTATCCTAAAATGTCAACAAAATATTGTAATGGTATAAGGTCACAGTATACAGGGATGGGGCTGTATGAGGACAGAGGTACACAAATTTTTTATATTTAGCTTGCTGACCTATCTGAGTCTTCTGCCCCAAATCATCACAACTAATTTTTAATGCACAAGAAAATCCTCTTTTCTTTATGAATGTGTTCAAATAATCCTAGCTTAATATACAAACTATTGACAAGCCTTTCTACAGCACTTCACTTTACATTATATTAATCGGCTCCACAAAAGGATAACAGCTCCGAAATCTGCTTTAGGACTTCATTTATATTTCCTTTCTCATAAAAATGTTCTTGCTATTATGGACCAAATCGCCATAAGGTTTAATCAATCAGATCTCGATGATGCAATAAATACCATCATAAGCAACCTGCTGCTACATCATCCCCTTGCACAACCAGTTTTCCTATCAGCCAAAACTCCAAATCAATCCTAAAAATCTAAACAAAACAGCACAAAGAGAAGACATTTCYCTTTGAGGAGAGCAGAGTCAGATAAACACAGGGAAAATAAATATCAAAATTCACATTARAACAACTTCAGTGAGATTTTCTTTYWCCTTCTAAAGGAGAAGCAATTCRTTTAAATCRTTCCTTAGAAAACAAAGCAGAAAARAAACGCTCCCTTCCCTCCTCCCTGCCCAGCTCCYATTTCCTGAAGCCCTCCTCCTGGCACGTACTTTTTGGGTTCAGCCGAGAGCATTTCCCTCCCCTCCGCACATCTGCTCCGTGCAGGGCTGCCGAGCTGCGACGCATCCTGAGGAGCGCTGCAAATCCCCCGCTTTAAAAAGGCGCTGGCAAGCCCCTCCTGGGCTGCCAGCTCCGGCCAGCTCCGGCAGCGCATCGAACAGCCCGGCATCGCCCCCAGCCAGCAGCACGGCCCGTCAGTCACCCTCCCCGGCCACGCCACCGCTCTCTCGAGTGCAAGGGGTGACTTGAAACAAACAAATAAACAAACCCCATCCCAACCCAAATACTTCAAAATTAAAAAAAAAGTAATACTTTTTTTTTTTGTTTTTTAAGGATGGACACCCAGAGGAGCTTGTTCACAGCCCCACTGGCTGCCTCTGCCTGGCCCATCCTGGGGGTGCCACCACCGAGGCTGGCACCCTTGGAGGGGCAGTACTCGTGGCTCTGCCTGCTCCATATCTGCTTCCCACAGTCCTGAGCGAGCAGCCTGGGCTGCCAGGGATGGAGGGCACTGCCTGGGATGTCTCTTATGCCAACTCGTGCCCCTGGCCTATTATGCTTTTGCTGCAAGGATCCTGGCTGAGCCTTCCCAGGAACCCCCTTTAGGTGGCTGCAAACAGCAGCTGGGCACCCCTGCCACCCCTTTGGCTTCTCCTGGCTGGCCAAACCTTGGCTTTCCTTTGGCTTTCCCTTTCCCTGTGCYCMATYCCCACAGCCCAYRAGCCYCCATGGCCGGGTCAGGGTGGCTCTRCCCTGCTGCACAASTGAGMTGCCACATRTTTAAGCCATAGYTGGGYTTCTTGCAGGGCTAYCAAGGAGCAGGGACASGGCATAAAACAGAGCCACTTCACAGCAACTCAATCTGGAGTTACCAAAGTTTCATTTGCAGAATATGATTCAACATCAAAGTATCTCCTGTCACAGAAGCGCTTGAATAGCCACAGAAAATGTAGTGAGCAACAGTGAATGGGTCTTACCCAGGCATTTCTTACCTCACAGCAACATCTTGGTGTCATGACTGTAAAGATGAGCATTTCAGAGGCACTGGAACATRATGAAAAGAGCAGGGACCTGATGGCAGGAATGCTCTTTGACAGCTTCTCTCTTGCACTCTGGCCAGAAAGATATTAGAAAAACAGTTACAATTTTATACCTATRTAATTCTTTTTCAATATATTAACAATATTTTCCACATACTTGGTCTGAGTGTTTAGCTTTTAAAAGGTGGGAATGGAAAGGATGTGTGAGAATGAGTTTTGTCTGGAGAATAAAAGGTTCAAAGTAGTAAAGAGAGGAGTAGAAACTACAATTTACATATAATTCAAGGAACTTACATGCCCTCTCCATCCAGAGCATGACAATGGTCACAGTTCCTGAGGAGAATCTTAAAACTATTTGTGCCCACAGATTAGCTTTTTTAACTGATGATTTTAAAGATGGCAGAAATTCAACTACAGACCTAAAACTTACAAGAATGGTGAATATACACCACATAGATAACCTGCAAATGCTGGAGAATAATGCTGAACTTCCAAAACTGGAGGCCTAGATTTCAGAACAAAATTTACTTTGGCATTTTACAGCCTAAAGACATGATGAATGTGCTAAAATATAATGAACAGTCTGTCAGAAAAGGAAAAAAAAACCCCTATTCACTGAAAACACAATATGCTGTTATGCATTGTATTATAAAAAAACAAATTATGGTATCATTGTCATACCTAATTTAGATATCAGTACTGTTTGTTGGTCATTATTRCTTCATSCTTGGGTTTTATTCCTTACTGAACRACCTTATTTCCATTCAATCATTGGACCTGACAGGTTCTCCCCTGAAGATGCCAATTAGCTGCTGCATTTTACAGTCAGTTGTACCTTGGCATCTTGCTTTACTTTTTAACTTATCTCTGTGATCTGCTGCTTGCAGATCTGTTTGGGAGTGAACTTCTTTCCATTACTTTATATGCTCAAAGTTCAAATCCACCAAATGACATATTAGATATTGTTAGCGTTACATACGCTATTTTTGGTTACAACTTTTTCCATAAATATTGCCWTTCAGAGGAAAATCTACACACAGTATTGGAGCTACCATATATTAGTTGTAGTTTCAGAACCTCTAGATTCATAATTTGTTGTCTAATAATGTATTTTATTCCAATGTTGTTTAAATTTCCTGTAAGGCAACAGAGATAACATGAGAAATTATCAGCCCTCTAAAACCCACAGGAGGGCTCCCTTTCTTCCCTTTCCTTACAGAAGTAAGTAAAATGCTGGAAATGCTGCTCCCTGAAACCTGAGACTTGACAAACCACTCAGATGTCCCTTCTGAGGAAYTGCTTTCTTTCCTTCTGAGGAATTGCTTTTCTTTGTTCTTATGCTCATTCCCATGTATGCAAGCTAGAGCTGAAACTTYTCTGAGGACAAGCCACTACATACAATACCTCACATACAATACCTAACATAGCTGGATCAAAATGAACTCTATCTTCTCTGAGATATTCTGATTAAAGCTAAGAATTGGATGACAAGGGAAAGTTAAATGCCAACTAAAGCAAACTTCTTCACACTGCAGACTTGTTTAGACTGACAGGGTTTTGATTGACAATTTAAGTTGGCTCCATGAATGACAGTGACAACTAAACCTCCAGCCAGAGGATGACTGAATTCCTGCCTCACACATCTCTCTTCCCTGCACTCACACCAAGATTAGTTCTTCATTAGGCCTTTCTATTTCAGCTGTTTGTGATCAATCCTAGGACATGGGAAAATACAGTAAATCAATCGAGTACAAGCAGACAAAGTGTTTGGACTCACTGAGCTTCATGATATACATCTGCATGCCTAAACTCACTGTGTGTACAAATAAAAGCACTGAAAATCAGTATCTTAAAATTAGTCAGAGAAAGCACATTGCTCAAGTAAATGGAGAAATAGGTAAGGGAAATAACTGCCTAACAAAGGTCAGATAAAAGGTCTGAGACACAGTMAAGATCCAAGTACTAGGTAGTAGTTCAGTGGTAGTAGTTCCATGCACAGATTTAAAGAAAGCAAGCAAACATTGAACAAGATGCAGGAAAGAAGTATACATGGTTGTTTGTTTTTTTTTTTTTTTTTAGGGAAACAAAGTGATTTAGGATGAATAATAGCACTTTACATTTCTATGACACCTTTCATCCCACAGGCTCCCAAAGCAATTGACAAATTTAACAAATTGAAGGACATTATCCTCTGTACAACAAAATCATTTTATCTGTCACTAAAGGCATCCATGCTGGAGCAAAAAGCAGTGTCTGTTTAACAGGTTAGATCTACTGTGACAAACACCACATCTAAGCAGAGCCACAGGGAGAGGACAATTGTCAACAGCTGGAACTGGTGCTGAATACTGGACTAAGCAGCTGTTAGGAGAAGTCTGCTAGTGTTTCTCCAGTTACCACTGGTGATGACGACTTTATCACAGATCTTGCAGAGTTGCCATGCCCAGGGCAGGYTTTCTCATGACCCAGCTCCTCAGGGCACCTGCCTCAGCATGAGGTGCCTTCACATGCCATAGTCCCCATCCTTGTAACACTTGAGTGTTATATTCAGCGGACAGAGYGAGAGCAGAGATTGACTGTGAACATCCAGGCACGAAAACAGAGCCAGTGGTCAATCAAGAGACACYTCATGCTGACAATCACAGAATCATAGAAGAGTTTGGGTTTGAAGTGACCTTTAGAGGTCATTYAGTCCAACCTCTGTGCAATTGGCAGGGACAGCCTCAACCAGATCAGAGCCCCATCCATCTTGGCCTTGAGCATTTCTAGGTCACTCATCACCCCTCTGGGCAACCTCTTCCAGCGTTGCACCAACCCTCATGGCAAAAGACTTATTTCTTATAGGTAATCTAAACAAACAACCTTTTAATTGACTTAAATAGTTAACTTCCATCTGAGCCTTCAACAATGTCATCTTTCTTTCACTGCAACAATAATTCTGGCAACACAGAAAGTTTCAAAGGTGTTTCACACGCAGCAGAATATCCACATATGCTACTTCCTAAAGCACATGGGTCTGACCAACTCCTTGGAAGTCTCTGAACAATTCCAGATGTTGGACCAAAAGCCAAAGATTGATGGATAATCTACAGTCACATGTTCATTTTGGGATGRTACAGAGGCATGTTTGGAAATGAGTTTTGAGTTGTTGAATAAGGAACAGCAAAATAAAAAGTGGGAACAGAATAATATGWCAATGAGCAAAATGGATTTATTCAGTATATATTTTTTACTGGTTTAAAAATAGCTACAAGGTTGATCCAGGAATTAGTCATAGGTCTGTTATAAGCCACAGTGCAAACACTCAATGTTGTCCTGCTGAGATTCTGACAGCTCTGAAAAGTCTCACATATTTCACATGGCAGCTGAAATATTTTAATTGCAAAGGAAAACAAAGTGTTAGCATGGGTCAGGCCAGCTGAGTGTGAATGAAACAATTGTAGAAACTTCAGGACTTGGAAAAACTTTGAAGAAGTTCCTCAGTCAAGTGCTTCTCAGGCAGGGTTAGTCATTGTGGAAAACCCAGTTTTTCAATTGCTAAACATCTACAGTACAATGTAAGTTTTAGGTTATGAATGAAGTCAGTTAACATCAAGGTGTAGGTTAGACAGTCATAGAATTAGAATGCTTATCTCCCTGTTACAGTTTACTTATGAGGGACAAAGAAGGCACAACAATGGTTATCTAGGACACATCCTATGCACAGGTCACCTCACCAGCAAAAATACAAATCTGTACAAGCTTGACTCTTTTCTTCTCCTCTGTGACTAACAGAGGGGGGCGCATGTCAATGGCAATGATTAATTGGGCATTTGTCTTCTCTTTCTACTTCACTTCTGCCAAGCCAACAGAAGCCTTTGCTTGCTTTCACTCTGAGAGGAAGAAGCTGAAGCTACCTGAGGTGGTGGTCCCTGCATGAACAGGGGCTTCAGCATAATTCCTATCCCCTTCTCCAAGGCACTTCCCTCACAGTGGCTGACATCCCTCCTGTTTCCTTATTTCACCAGCAGCAATTGAGTTACCAGGACTCAGACACAACTTTTCATCCCAGGCTCATCCTTACCCAGAGCCCTTTCTGTGGAAAGAACCACTCAGTCAAGATCCACGCCCAACCTCATTCCTCAGTTGAAGACTTTCATTTGCTCAGGTGCAGAAAATGATTTTCAGCCATGGCTTTTAATCTTCAGGGCCTTTGAAGCTCCTGCCTCCCAAGGAGAGGGTCCTTGGCACCAAGCCACAGCCAAGGAATGTTATCTCTGCTGGAGACATAAAATGGCAGGGGAAGAAATGCAACTGTCAAAGGACCTGAGGGAGGAATTCAACTTCATAATGCTCTGGGGGGACACTCATCTGGAGGACAGGAATCTGGGCTCTAAATCACCACTTCTAGCATTGTTATGTACCCTCTGGAAAGGCTGTTTGAGCTGGAATGGAAATGGACTTGTCCTGGAACAGGGACATCAGATCAGCATTTCACTATATTCACATTTCACCAATACTATAAACTAACCCAAAATACAATCTCTTTTGCTTTCAAAACTCAGTTTCAAAACACTCTTCATGATACCAGTGTTTTCCATAGGAAAGACATTCTGATTTTTTACGAACTCGCAAGTTTTCCTCCGGCCACATTCAATCAGTTTCCTCCAACAGCTTATGGAAAAACCCTGAAAGTCACAACTTTTGCTTTCAAAGTCATGACAGTGACAGTCACAGAGATTTTGTTGTAATTGTGTTGTTATCTTCTATATTGAGGTTTTCCACTTCTGGTCAAAGGTGACTTATTTCTATAAACAGAAACATTTTCACACTTTAAATGCTTAAAACAAAATCCTTTTGTGTAAAAAGCCAGCCTGGAGAATTTCATCCTGGCAGCTGAATGCATCAGTCCTATCAATGCTTATTCAGGTAATGAGGTTACAAAAAAGAGCCCCAAATTTGGTATTGGTTCCCTATTTCAGACACTTGTAAAAAGAAACACTGAAACAAGGAAGCCCTTATAGGTTTTCATTTCCTATATGATAAAKGATGGAAGAATGTACTTGGATGTAAAGGAACTCTGACC